CCTCACATGCACGGTGGAGTTTGGGGCTGGGGCGACAAAGATATGAAGCCGGAAGATATAGAGGATGTAAGAATTTATAATAGATTGCCAGACGACTCGTAGGGGGGGTAGAAATTTTAGTTTATAGATACTCTAACAATGACTTTTGAAAAGTAGGAGATTTTTAGAAAATAAAGTAACCCGTGGTACGTTGGGTAAAAGTATTCTAGTTTCAACGTTAATCATTTCAATTAATTAATTGCTAATCATGTTCGATTTAAATAATAAAAGAGTCTATACGTCTCAATATAATTTTTAAACCTTTTCAAAAGAAAGTAAAATTAATAAGAATTATGTATAATAAAAAATTTATTGTTGACTAAATATTGTCTGTTACCCTTTTTTTTAATTTATTATTTTGTTATTTTTGTAGTTTTGTCGACTGTTGAACTTTATGTAGTTATAGTAAGTTTAGCTGTAATCATTTTTGTAGATAGTGAAAACATTTTGTTTCCTTATTTTCTTTAAGTAGATAAATCTTAAGTTATTATTTTCGTATTAAATTTCTTTTAAAAAATTCCTTTCTGTATGTGATAATGTAATGTACGACAATGAACTGTACCTACAACTAGCGCACGTAGGTACGCCTTGTTTTTATGTAATTTTTATTGTATTTGCCATATTGTTTTTGTAAATAAATATTTCTAATATTGCTGCTGATTATTTCTTGTATAATGGTGCAACGAAAATATTAAACAAATTAAACATAAAAAAGCGCACGTGAAATTATTGGAAGACCGAGGGCATTTATTAATAGTTAAGAAGTGATAATTATGTACAAAAGTACGTAGAATCTCAAGTTACCAATGGTGTTTCAGTGCTGTTTCAAATAGGTGCTTTCCGGAATTATCCTTCCTAATACATACCATCATCCTGAAAATAACATAAAATAACGCTCGTGAAATAATTAGGAGATGGAATGCATTTACTAACTTATGAGAAGTGATTATTATGTAAAAATATATCTCATGGTGTTAACAGTTTTCGAATGCGGTGTCAAATAAGTGATTTCCGGCGTTTTTTTTTTGGTAAAACACGTAAAATAATAAAAACATAGAAAAGCGCTCATAAAATTATTGGAAGATAGAAGATATTTGCTAACCTATGAGAACTGATTATTATGTAAAAATATACGTAGAATCTCATGATGTCAACAGTTTTTGAGTGCGGTGTCAAATAGGTGATTTCCGGCGTTTTTTTTGGTAAAATACGTAAAATAATAAAAACATAGAAAAGCGCTCATAAAATTATTGGAAGATAGAAGATATTTGCTAACCTATGAGAACTGATTATTATGTAAAAATATACGTAGAATCTCATGGTGTCAACAGTTTTTGAGTGCGATATCAAATAGGTGATTTTCGGCGTTATTTTTGCTTAAATACTTACGTAAAATAATTAAAACAAAAAAGCGCTCGTGATATTATTGCAGGATAGAAGATATTTGCTAATCTATGAGAACTGATTATTATGTCAACAGTTTTTGAGTGTGGTGTCAAATAGGTGATTCTCGGCGTTATTTTTGCTAAAATATGTAAAATAATTAAAACATATAAAAGCGCTCGTGAAATTATTGGGAGATAGAAGATATTTTCTAACTTATAAAAAGTGATAGTTATGTAAAAATATACGTAGAATTTCATGGTGTCAATAGTTTTTGAGTGCGGTGTCAAATTGGTGGCTTCTGACATCCGGCATAATTTTTGCTAATACATACACTAATTTGAATATAAAGCGCTCATGTAATTATTGGAGGATGAAAGGTGTTTTCCATGTTTGAAAAATTGATAATTACGTTAAACAGTATGTAGAATGTCATAGTGTCAACGGTTTTCGAGTGCGGAGCCAAACAGTAATATTTTTAAATAGTTTTTTTAACTTTTTTAATTAATAATAATATAATTCAAACATAGAAAAGGGCTCTTGTAATTGTCGGGACATGGAAGGTATTTAGTAAGTTTTGGGTTGCTGGGTGTATATTTTTTAGGGTATTCCCTGGAATGAAAGACGCGAGTTCGACCCGCTGTTGTTCAGATTTATTTTTCTTTTTAATCCATTAAAATAAAATATTCTTTGGCTTACTGTACACCTTATGTTTTATTTATGAGGTACTTTTCATTCTTTTACAGTACCAGAAAGTGCTTATATATTAATTAATAGATTCATTCGTTCGTTTCTGTGTTTAATCTCACTCTACGGTTTTGCTTTCTGATAATATTCTTTTTTGTATCCACTGTTGACGTAAATAATATGTTCTTGAGGCTCAACATCAAAAATCAAGCCCCTGATGAGACTAACGGCGCCCATACTAAAAGCCATTTGATTCATAGCCATTATAACCATCGCTACCATCTTTATTTGGGGCAAAATCCATGGCATTATACCAGCCATTGCCAAAGCTGGTATCAGCAGGTAGTACAGCACGTTTCCTACGAAATACGAGAAATATAATTAACATTTGTTTATGAAAAATACTTTACAAAGTAAAAATAAATTTATTAACAAGTAAATATTTTTATCATGTTTAATCGAATTTTTAATTCGTTTAGATTCTTTTACAAGTTTAGGATGTGATTGATTCCAAACTTACTTTTATGTAAAAAATGTTAATTCATTGAATTTTAGGATTATTATTTAAACAAATTGTTTACCGATAGACTACAAAAATTTTGGTTACGTTTGAGTAAGTTGAGTTGCCTAAACACATTCACAACAAATTTAATAAATTGAATACTAGTCTGTAGAAACTTAACTTGTAAGGAGTACCTACATATAATACGTATGAACGTATGATATAAAAATTAAATTTCCATATCAATTATCAAATAATTCGTAATTCGTTCTTTACTTTTAAAATCATTATAAATATTCTTTATCCCCAGTTGATATTTTTCAGCTTTTACTAAGCGTATTTAGATAAAATTAATTTGAACGGAAGCTAAATTATAAAACAGTTTTTGTATTTAAACAATTCAATCAAATATTCACTGAGATTTGGATAGAAACAAAAAATGAGATACACTACAAGTATATGATTAGGCATGTATTAAGTTGTAGTTCGCATTACATATGTCACTAGCTGGAAATTACTGAAATAGAATTAGAAAATTTTTGTGGTAAACTTTCTACATAGTACATTGTAATTTCACGTTGTAGATTTGCAAATAGTTGTGGTAATCGCATTATTTCATGTCGTAAAAATTATAAGTTACGAATAAATGTATTAAGATTGTGCATAAAATTTGTTGTCTTAAAAGAATTTGCCAAAGTGAGCACAAATATATTTAATATGAGTGAAGTTTAGAGCAAAAGGTCAGTTTGCATTGTGTAGTGTGCTAACTGGTTAACAATGAAACAATCAATTCGAAGAAGTCCCTGAAGATGTTCCGTTTATTTGAGACAGAAATATTCAGCTTTATTAATCTATTCCATTTTTCTTATTGGTTTTAACTGGTAAACTTTTAGTAAATTATCATGAAGCAATGTTAAAGAGCTTCACTCTCAGTTTTCTAAATGCATTTACCTATTTTATGTTACTACTTTCACGTGTGGTCAAAGTTCGTCCAATTCGATTTCAAATCAAATATAATGGAGATAAGTCGTACTTATTCTGATTTACACTGGATGATGGCCAAACACATGAAATAACAATATATGTGTATGCAACCAATTATTTATTCTAATATCGATATTTAAATCCGTTCGCTTTTCTCCAATTGTTTCAACTCGAATATCTACAGTAGAATCCGCTTATAATATGACATCGAAGGGAAATGACAAGCACGTCACACTAAGCGGGCGTCATACAAAGCAAAGTCTTAGAAAATAAACAACTTTCTATTTTGGTTAGTTATTTAATTTAATAGAGAGAAAAACTACAAATTGTATATATTTATTAACAGAAAAAGAAAAAAAACGACGAATTGTAATATCAATATGCATAAGAAGGGTCAGAAAAATGAGCGAAAATGTTATTATTANTATAATGTATGTTTTTTATAACCAACGGGATAAGTTTCACTAATAATAATTAACCAAGTGGTTAACTAGATTAGAAATGACCATTGGTAACGCAGCAATATTACCCTTATTATAATCAATTGAGATGAATCTGGAAGGCTATTGGAAAATTTTCAAAAGAAAATCACCAAAACCAATTTATTACTTATGCTATTCGAGGACACAAGGGTATTTTTTGTGAGCTTTGTTTTCCAATTACGTAAATATAGTTCAGTTTTACCCTAAGAATAAAATTACTTTTCTAGAAAAGTCGAAGACATATATAGTTGCTTGTAAAGATTTGTGGTATGAAATATGTTGGACAAACCAGGCGTTCGGTTCATGTTAGGTTCAAAGAGCATTTAGCTATTGATATGTTTGGTAGAACTGAAAAATCCAGTATTAGCCATCATACGTATTCATACTATCAATACTGACGATCTTAAATTACTTAAGGAAACTTTTACAAATTACTCATTTATTTTCTTGCTCGCAATGGGAAACATTTTACAATTATTTTCATGGTTTTCTTGTTATATTTTATACACTGTGAGATTTTTGATCAATCCCATGTGCTTTGCAAAACACTAATTACACTGACTTTTCCTTTCAGTTAAGTACGGAATGGCCCCAAACGTTTTGGGCAGTACTGCACTCTTCCTAACCGAAGCAACCACTACCTCTGAAGAGCCGGTGGTACTGTCGAGGACATCCACAAAGGTACAGCCACCTTCGGCTCAGGCGTCCTCTAGATCTTCACAGAAATTGTCGTCCCAACAACCTCATTATAAATGGGACATCGTTTGGAGGAACGTTCTAGCATTCATATACCTTCACGTTGGTGCCGTTTATGGGCTTTACCTTTTCATTTTCAAATGTTATTGGAGCACATTCATCTGGAGTAAGTATTATTTCCTTCTGTAACATCTAATGGAATTACTATCAGTATCTACATCTGATAATACCGGGTGTAACTACTGGCCTCGCCCAAATATCATCAATGTGATCTATGAAATCAAAAGTCAAAAATGTTTCTTTGGACTTGTGACCAGAAATGCTTACTTAGGAAGTAATACGTAAATTTAATAATAATTGATACAAATAATAAACACAGCGTCAGTTATATTTATGTATGAAGGATAGTACCCTAGCCCATTTTAGTATTGTTGTTTAATAATAATTTTGGGAATTGTGGGATTGACAGAGGAGAACCAGTTGCATGACCAATACATTCTGCACATCGGAATCCATTAGAATATTTATAACTGGAGGATCTTGTGTAATCCACACTGACTCTTACTTCTGAAGAAAGCTACCCAACCTTGTAACTAATAGTTTTCAAATAATTCGTGATAATCCCAGAATTTTTGAGCAATTTCGACAGTAAATGACTCCTGGATGTGAAGACATTTTTAACAATTAATCTATTCATTAAAAATTTAACCAAATACCTTTAGTGACACCCTGTACATCATTTTTCATTTAATTTATGTTCGATTACAAAATTAAGACTAATCGTGACATGTATTCAGAACAACAGCGAAAATTTCTAGGAACTGCTTGACGAAGTCCAAGTCAAGGTTTTGTTTTGCAATGTCGAAATTACATTGAAAAATGTTGTTAAGTGAGAGTAAACTAATTATCCAAAAATCATTGATAAGCTCATGTTAAACAATTAAATAATATTCACCTTGAGTTGTTAGCACCAAAGGAACTGAGATATTTTGGATTATCTTTATTTAGGAAGCGCACGCTATTTACAGAAATCGTTTTCCAAGTCGGCGGCAAATATTGAACATAAGTTAATTTATGGATTTACTATTATAAGTACTTATTAAATCATTTTTGTCTTAGAACTCAAGGGTTTCATAGATGAATATAATTCAAATAAGCAACTTTTGTTAGAATTTCTTGGCATGAGATTTGTTTGAACTATGATTTAAACATTTTCGAACCCTTAAAACTAATATATTTTATGTATTTCAGCGTATTTCGTGGCATACTTCGCATCCCAAGGAATAACTGCTGGAGCTCACAGATTATGGGCTCATCGTTCTTACAAAGCCAAACTGCCTTTAAGGATTATTCTCATGATAGCTCAAACGGTAGCTCTCCAAAATCACCTTTACGAATGGGTCAGAGATCATAGGGTCCATCACAAATTCACGGACACAGACGCGGATCCCCATAATGCCAGAAGGGGTAAAAATTTAATGAATAAGAATCTCTTAATTGAACTTGAAGCTCATGGAATCGGGAGAACACAGGGTCGATTCCGAGCTCATCCGTTTTGATCCAAGTCTTTATGTCATTTCCTTGAATCCTATAAACAAATCCACCCATTCTCGTGATTCCTAAAAGCGACTGGAGAAGACCTTTCGCCATATTTATCAATTTGTAATACAATATAGAATAGTGGAGCAACTCGCCCATCAGCATCAATTGATGGGAATGACTTACAATAAACATTCTGCTATTTTTATTGTTCTTTTCATTTGTAGGTTTCTTCTTTTCACACATGGGTTGGCTTATGGTGAGAAAACACAAGGACGTTATGATTAAAGGTAAAACGGTTGATATGAGCGATATGGAGGAAGATCCAGTTGTAAGGTTTCAAAGAAGGTGACTATCGATAGAGTTACAAAACGAATTATTGCAATTTAATTATATAATTACATTTGTTTTTTTTTTTTTAAGATATTATTTGATTTTGACGCCAATATTCTGCTTCCTTATTCCGTCTTTGGTACCATGGTATTTCTTCGGAGAGGACTGGTGGACTGCCTGGTACGTTTCAGCAATATTTAGATACACGGTTTCGTTAAATTGTACTTGGCTGGTGAACAGTGCAGCTCATATTTGGGGAACAAAACCATATGACAAGTGAGTAGCTTTTTTGTGAATTTATGCACCGTAATGTACACAGAGAATGCATCTTTAAAAACGGGTCGAAAGCAGTTCAATCGCCGCTCAGTTATTTATCTAGCGGATGAGTTGTATTTTTGTGTGTATGTCCCAGTTAGCTGTAAGACATTACATCTGATTTTAGAGGATTAAAATTTGTAAAACTTAAGCTGGCCTTAATTTACAAGATATTAACGAATGGAGATGGAAATAAAGCGGTTTCCTCCCTTAAATAAAACTAGAAGTAATTGACGATTAAAGCGTTTAGTCAAAAACTAAAATAGAGTCACTTAAGCCAAGTTTACTTTGGTTTCCAGTATAGTTCGCTTAACCAGCATCTTCAATTATAAATCGCTAATTTTGATTGGAACTGCTCAATTGCAGATAAACAGGCGAGCTCAAATATCTATACTCGGGTTTATAGTTGGTTGCATATACGTATATTCTTATGACATGTTATAGTCATAACATTTTTATAGTTTGACGTTTAACAAGTAGATGATGCCTTTATTGTCGTCGGACTCATTTAGTTTTGGGTTTAATGTAATATTGATTGTATTAATAGAACGATATCACCGACTGAGAATGTCCACGTGGCCTTTTGGGCTTTTGGAGAAGGATGGCACAACTACCATCATGTGTTCCCGTGGGATTATAAAGCGGCTGAATTGGGAAACTATGCACTGAATTTTTCTACAATGACTGTTGACTTCTTTGCCAAAATTGGTTGGGCGTATGACTTAAAAACTGCGTCTGTGGAAATGGTAAGGAAGCGAGCGAAGAGAACTGGAGATGGGACGAGAGATTCTAACGAAGAAATCCAGGACGATAATCCTCACATGCACGGTGGAGTTTGGGGCTGGGGCGACAAAGATATGAAGCCGGAAGATATAGAGGATGTAAGAATTTATAATAGATTGCCAGACGACTCGTAGGGGGGTAGAAATTTTAGTTTATAGATACTCTAACAATGACTTTTGAAAAGTAGGAGATTTTTAGAAAATAAAGTAACCCGTGGTACGTTGGGTAAAAGTATTCTAGTTTCAACGTTAATCATTTCAATTAATTATTGCTAATCACGTTCGATTTAAATAATAATAGAGTCTATATTGTCTCAATATAATTTTTAAACCTTTTCAAAAGAAAGTAAAATTAATAAGAATTATGTATAATAAAAAATTTATTGTTGACTAAATATTGTCTGTTACCCTTTTTTTTAATTTATTATTTTGTTATTTTTGTAGTTTTGTCGACTGTTGAACTTTATGTAGTTATAGTAAGTTTAGCTGTAATCATTTTTGTAGATAGTGAAAACATTTTGTTTCCTTATTTTCTTTAAGTAGATAAATCTTAAGTTATTATTTTCGTATTAAATTTCTTTTAAAAAATTCCTTTCTGTATGTGATAATGTAATGTACGACAATGAACTGTACCTACAACTAGCGCACGTAGGTACGCCTTGTTTTTATGTAATTTTTATTGTATTTGCCATATTGTTTTTGTAAATAAATATTTCTAATATTGCTGCTGATTATTTCTTGTATAATGGTGCAACGAAAATATTAAACAAATTAAACATAAAAAAGCGCACGTGAAATTATTGGAAGACCGAGGGCATTTATTAATAGTTAAGAAGTGATAATTATGTACAAAAGTACGTAGAATCTCAAGTTACCAATGGTGTTTCAGTGCTGTTTCAAATAGGTGCTTTCCGGAATTATCCTTCCTAATACATACCATCATCCTGAAAATAACATAAAATAACGCTCGTGAAATAATTAGGAGATGGAATGCATTTACTAACTTATGAGAAGTGATTATTATGTAAAAATATATCTCATGGTGTTAACAGTTTTCGAATGCGGTGTCAAATAAGTGATTTCCGGCGTTTTTTTTTTGGTAAAACACGTAAAATAATAAAAACATAGAAAAGCGCTCATAAAATTATTGGAAGATAGAAGATATTTGCTAACCTATGAGAACTGATTATTATGTAAAAATATACTTAGAATCTCATGGTGTCAACAGTT